TTTGCATGCATGTTCCGATACTATTATTTGTTTAAGCACCTTACAAAGTAAACTAATGATTGAAATTCTTAAGAATTCAATGAAAAATTTGTACCCTTTTCAATCGAATTTTTCTGCAACAAAACCAAAATGAAAATAGATTGATAATTTTGATTATTTTTGATTATGAATTAACGACTAATTTACATTGTTACTTATCCAATGTGAAATTCCTTATTTAAAATCTAATTTTTCTGAAGCAAAATCAAAACTTTTAATCTATTTATAATCTTGATTTTGCTACAAAATAGTGAATTTCAATCAGAAAATGTTTTAACAAATACGTAACAACATCAGGTAATGCTTAGGTGACAAGCTACGGTAATCAAAATTATCAATCAATTTTAGTTTTGATTTTGTTGTAGAGTAATCCGATCGAAAATCGGGAAAATGTTTCACTGAATAACAATAATAATACACATGGCGACTATAGGAAAAACACTGAGGAATGAGGCTGATATTGATAGTTTTTGGGTGTGGGATGTATTTAGAGAGAAGACTCACACCAATGTCCTTCTCTTTCTTTTAGTTCGAATCATAGTATTTGTTTGAAGGCCTGCGCAACTTGTTATCATATATCAACAAAAGAGGTCCGTTACATGTCTGACATTGACAGAAAGCCTTGAGAAAATGAATAGAAGTTGCTCTCTGTATTCATGATAATTCTAATCTCTATGTCACAAAAAAGCTTATCTTTCTCTGCGACGCACTATCATTGAAGGATTATTTGTTGTGTTTAAGATGAATAAAAAAGCAATACATACAACTGAGAGTTATGTAGTCATCTGGCTTGATGAGAATATTGATGAAAACAATGAAGATTATCAAAATAACATTGCCGAATTACGTGGCATTGTCAATGAAGTCAAATATTTCAGAACTGGTGAAGAATGCATTCAATACCTCAATGAATGTAATCAACAGAGAATATTTGTCATCTCATCTGAAGTACTTGGACAGCATGTCGTGCAAGTAATACACGATATATCCAACGTGAATACTATTTTCATTTTGTACAACAACAGAACACTTGATAATGGATGGATGAAAAACTGGAGAAAAATTAAAGGTGCATGTACATCAATAGAACAAATTAACCAAGAACTGAGACACTTAATCAAGATAAATAACAAAAATAGTATGTCTATAAGCATCATGAATTCTTATGAAGAAAATGGAAAAAAAAAACTTTCATCAACTGGATTCTGATTTCATGCATTTCCAAATATATAAGGACATATTTCTTGAAATGAAGTCTGATCAACAAGTTATCAAAGATTTTGTTGTTTTTTGCAAGGAAGAATATAATGGTAACACCAAAGAGATAGAAATTATCGACGAATTCGATAGCCATTATGAATCATCAAACGCCATCTGGTGGTATACACGTGAATGTTTCATCTATAAAATTTTTAATAGTGCTCTACGTACATTTAATGGCGATATCATTATAAGATTAAGATTTTTTCTTTCGGATCTGCAAAAACAAATTGAAACATTGTACAAGACTCAGACCAGTCTTTATCAAGGAAGACATTTCTTGTTTATCGAGGACAGAGCTTACTCACTACTGTCTTCGATCAATTAATAAAAAGCAATGTTGGAATCATGTGTTTCAATCATTTCTTATCTACGAGTACCAAGAGAGATATTTCTCTTCGCTTCGCTGAAGAAGCCTTAGAATCCGTCGATGCTGTTGGAGTTCTTTTTGAAATTATTGTAGATTGCAATGTACCATCAGCTCCATTTGCTTCTATTCAGAAGTTTGGTTATATGGATACAGAAGTGGAAATTCTCTTTTCCATGAATTCGTTTTTTCGAATCAATACGATACAAAAGTTGGATAAAGAACGCTCCCTTTACCAAGTTCAACTTAGGACAATACCCGATAATGACGAAAAATTATGCCGGTTACAAGATTTCATAAGAAAACAATCATCAGCTCGAACAGGTTGGAAACGTTTGGGTGAATTACTGTTTGCTATAGGTCAACTTGACAAAGCTGAAACATTCTATTCTAGAAAGCTAGAACAAGCAACTAGCGAAAGCGCCATCTCGCATGTCTATCATCAACTTGGTTGGATAATGCGAAAGCGAGGAAAATACACGGAGGCATTAATCTTTTCTTCAAAAATCTCTCGATATGAAACGAAAAATAGTCGTAGAAGATCACTCCTCGCTGATCTACATTTATGGTGATCTGGCTGCGATGTTCAAAGATATGGGTGACTACTCCAAAGCTCTTGAAATTTACGAAAAAGTAGAGCAAATCCTTGAAAAGAATTCATCTTCAATGCAACGTACGTTGGCTACTTGTTTTAATAATATGGGTGTGGTACGTAAACATATGGGCGATTATTGGAGAGCACTTGATTTTTACGAAAAGGCTCTCTCAACAAGAAAAAAAATCGTGCCTTCTAAACATCGATCAATTAAGTCTCCCGAAACTCCCTCGATTAAGCCTTGCAAACATCTTTCAAGAGCAACTACCTATGGCAACATTGCTAAATTGCACACCTGTATGGGCAACTATTCAGAATCACTTGTACTGAGCTCAAAGGCACTGAAACTGAAGCAAAATACACTATATTCAAATCATCCATTATTACCGAATTCTTTGGATAGTGTTGGTACTGCTTATAGAGCTATGGGTGACTACTCTAAGGCGTTCGAATTTCATGAACAAGCTCTTAAAATAAGAGAAGCAACCTTACCTTCAAATCATCCGTTACTAGCTATTTCGTACAGTAACATTGGGGAAGTATATAGTAACACGGGCAACTATTCGCAAGCCCTTGAATTTCATGATAAAGCACTTCAACTAAGAGAAAGTACTCTGCCTCTCGATCATTCTTCATTAGCTAACCCCTATAACAACATCGGAACACTGCATAAAGACATGGGTAACTATGCTGTCGCTTTTGAATTTTATCAAAAAGCATTGGAGTTGCGAAAAACAGCTCGTCCCCTGAATCATTCCAATTTGGCTGTTTCATACTACAATATCGGTAAAATTTATCAGTACATGGGTGACTCCTCAAATGCTCTTCAATGTTACAAAGAGTCGAGTAAAAGTTTTGCAAAAGTTTTAAGTCAAAATCATTCATCATCGGCTACTCATTACGATATTATGGGTTCGGTGTATAAAAATTTGCGTGAGTACCCGAAAGCACTAGAATATTATAAAAAAGCATTTGACATACGATCAAAAACTCTGGCTTCAAATCATCCATCATTGCTTAATTCATACAACAATGCCAGTCAAGTATATTCTAGAGTGCATAAACACTCGAAAGCAGATGAATTTCTTGGACAACCACCAAAAATGAACACAAATAGCCTGTCTATGAGTCATTCATCATTGACTATTTCTTACAACAACTTAGGTGTAGTGAATGCAAACATGGGTTATCGCTTCAAAGCACTGGAATTGCACAAAAAAGCACTTGGTATGAAGGAGAAAAACCTTCCTTCAAATCATCCAGATTTGGCTATCTCCTATAACAATATCGCTACAGTCTATAAACAAATGGGTAATTACTCAGCAGCACTTAAATGCTACGAGGAAGCACTCAAGATAGGACAAAATCTTTTACCATCAAATCATCCTTTATTGGCTACTTCCTATAGCAAAATCGGTGCAGTCTATAATACTTTGGGTGACTATTCAAAAGCACTCGAATTTTATGAAAAGGGATTTGAACTGAGAAATAATGTTCTGCAACCGAATCATCACTCATCAGCTAATTCCTACAACAGCATCGGTACAGTTTATAAAAATATGGGCGACTACTCAATAGCACTTTCATTTTTTGAAAAAGCACTAGTCATTCAAAAGGAAACCCTTCCACCGTCACATCCTTATAATCAACAACTAGCGGACAAAATTGACTATGTTAAAAGCCATATTTGAATTTCTTAAAACTTACTCTTATTCAATATGCTCATGTTCATCGTCATCTACTCATTGGATATGGACGCAGGTGTGCATGGGTTTGGGTGTGAAGTGGGTGTGAGTGTGGGTATGAGTGGATGTGGGTGTGGGTGTGAGTGGGTGCGGGTGTACATTTTCCTCACACCCACAACCACACGCTATTCTGATAAGCCTTTCTTCAGATTACATTTCCATAATAGAACTATAAATCGTGCGGTAATGAAGTTTTCAAGTGGTTACGATATTTAGTGCGTGACAAGGATTTCGCCAGTCTTGAAATGAATTTTTTTATATTCAATTATTTTAACGGATGAGAATAGAATGTAACAGATCTATGTACAGAGAAGTTCGAGATACTTACGCAGCACGTAGTAGTTTTATAGTTATTTGCTTCTTCTTTGAGCAACGCAGAAATATGTGAATACATCCAGAGATGAGATGAATTGTGTGAAGTGAATTCGACTTTATAACTTTTGATCGTTCAGAAGGAAGAGTTTTGGCTGTAGTCCGTCAATAGGCAATACCGAGAAAAGTGAGCGCGAAATTTCGAATTGTAATTCATTCAATAGAAATCCGTCAACTTCAAATTTCATCTCATTTCATACTACCCATCTCATCTCTCAATGCGTCAGCAAAAAATGGATGTATTCACATATTTTTGCGTTGCTCAAAGAAGAAGCAAACAACTATAAAACCACTGCGTGCTGCGTATATGTCTCGAACTTCTTTGTATATAGATGTGTTATATTCTATTCTTATACGTCAAAATAATATAAAAGATACGTTTCAATACGGGCGAAACTTCTATCACGCACTAATTTATGTTCGAAGGTTGACCGCTCTCTCTGGGTCGATTGATCTTGGGTTGATGTTTGCAATTAGTGTTTTTAAACTCTATTTATGACGAAAGTTTTCACTTAAAATCAATATCTATTCTGTCATTGATTCATAGATTCGATGTGATAGGTGCTTGCGCAAGCAGTATATAGAACAATTGATGACAAAGAAGAAAGTTCATTTATCTGCATCAGGCGAACTCGATAGTGACTCCAACATATTTGGGCAGTATGGTAAACCTTTCCAAATGTCCACCCATATTGACTTCAGGACCACCATCACCAAATGTCACCTGCTGCATAAGTCTAGCCGCGATCACCTTGAGCTCAAATCGAGCCAAATCTTGTCCAATACATTGTCGATGACCACCACCGAATGGAATCAACGCATAGGGATGATGGTTTTTATCCTCACCCATAAATCTTTCTGGATAGAACAGTTTCGGATCAATTGACCATAACCGAGTGTCTCGCGCGAGAGTATGAAATGGAATCTCCACTTGATTGCCTTTGAACAGTTGAGTACCACTGTTGGGTAGATGATCGTCAATCGTCAATGTACGAAGTGTTCCAGGAAAGGGCGGAGAAAAACGAAGTACTTCATTGATAACACAATCCAAATAGACGAGTGAGTCAAGACGATCCAGTGACAAATCTTGCCTATTACCATCACCCATCAGTTCTGCCTTGATCTTCTGCTGTACTCGCGGATGTTTACTCATGAGATAAATGAACCAAGTCAGAACTGTTGAAGTTGTTTCATAGCCTGCAATTAGAAACGCAAGCATTTTGTTCAATACTTCGCTTCGTGAGAGACCTGTTAACAAACAAAAACAAAACCACGCAGTTTCATACACAAACAATAAGAATGAACATAATTATCATATTTTGTTGAAACAAACGTATTAAATTTCATGAATTTTAAACTAAAGTGACGAAGTTGTGTCCGAGTCAATACACACTCAAGGCATAATTTTCAAGAACAAATCTAACCTTTTTTTTCTTCTTCACTTTTCGTAGCTTCTGCTTTCTCGTCTTTTTGTAACGAAGCAACGAGAGAAGCAATCAAACATGTTCTTTTTCGTTGTGCTATTGATTCTGGATTTTCGGTCAATTCATGATCTATCATTCGATAGAGGTATCGTTCAATAGTTGTTCGCGCTCGTCGATGTAGACGGCTCAATTTCAAATAGATACGGTATAGACTACTTGGCATGTAGAAAGCCATTTCGAGTGCACTCAAAAAATCTCGTAATGCCCGGGTGAGCTCATTATTTCCTGCATCACCGTAGCCATCGAGCGTCTCCAAATCGTAGTTAAATGCAATTAATCCAAAGATCGCGAGTAGAAGATTTTGGCATTGTTGGACAATGTCTAGATGGACGTGTTGAGTGGGACTAACGCGCCAATTAGTCAATAGTTTGTCCGTGCAATCAACAATTAAGTCAAAATTGGAGATGATCTTGCCACGACGAAACAATGGTAGAATCAACGCGGCGTGTCGTTTGTATCTTGCACCTAAATATAACTATAGATGAGTTTGCAATCAGAAGAGTGAAATTAACCTTTGAGACTAATGAGTCCGCCTGGGAGGAGGACATCGAATTGTGAAACAGTAATATCGCCTTGATCGTAAATATGTCGATGAGTCAAAATGTGCTGTACATCATCGATGTGACCCACGACAAAAAGACGCCAAGGACCGAGCCAAATTTGAAAAATATCACCAAAGCGATCTTTAAACGATAAGAAGACTTGAGCAAGAGATTTGCCATCGAACAATATACCCGTCTGAATCAAATTTCCAAATAGAAAATGAGGTGCTAAGCCAGGTAGAGAGTTGTAAAGAGTAAAATATTTCAGCTTAAAATATAATACCAGTAAGGCGACGATAACAAGAATCAATACGAGAAGCATTTTATGCGCATGATAGAGGCAAACTGCTGTCGTATCAAGACTGCTGATATAATGTCAAAAAACTTACATACGCACACATGCTACCTTTTTTTCTGTTCTCTTTCTTCTATTCGTGCATCACATATACACCAATGATAACAACACGAAGTCTAAGGTATATACGCATGATAGTAATAGACATAATGAGATGCAAGGGTGTGGGTGTGGCTCGCCTTTTCATCAACACGCACATCTCACACCCACACCCCACACTCATTTCAGTCCCTTAGGGATTATGTTAACAATTTTTGAATGTTGTCTATAGGCAATTTTTGAAATAGTAATCTTAGGTTGCTTTGCAATTAGAAGCAAACATCAGCATGATGAATTTGAAAATTACTTTGCTAAAATCAAGAGTCTCAGAAAATCCTTTATAAATCTTGAATTGAACATAGTAGAAAGTTGAAGCTTGTGTAGTTCGAAGGAAAAAAATTTTTCGTATCGATTAATCACGTGTCAAGTCAAAATTCAATGAGAAAAATTTTAGAATATCTTTTGGAAAATCTATACGAAGAGTTCACTTGATTGATAAGTCATCTGGTAAATTGAGACTTTAGAATATCAAACTTGTATTATCAAGACTCTGAAATTATCAACGAGTCAACTAGAAAATCTTGATACAACTCGTCAAAATCTGGGCCAATAGCCTCTAGTCAATTGAAAATCCATGATCAATTCCTTGGTGAAGATCATCAAATCTTAGTCGATTGTAAAGTGTCTTTATATGAACATCAACATATACTTCCGAATCAGGACAACGGATTTCATTCTTCTTGAAACATAAACGAAACACGTTTTTTCTGACATTCTTCACTTAGTTGTAGATTTCAGTTCAAGCAATTCTGATATGTATTCAATGTGCCTCTGATAAAACACATTTTAGTAAGATTCTTCTAATGATTATCTGATATTCGTTTCGATGGAAGAAACTGTTTGTTATATAAGATTCAACAAATATAGATAGGAGGCAGTTGTGCTACCTCATAATTTTTCAATATGTCGTTTCATTCACATAGCGAACATTCGATGGCCAATGTTGGCATATCATATTTAAAGCCTTTGTCAAATAAAACCTAAAGAATAAGAAATAGTGCTTGAATTGGAAGCCGTTTCATATCCTAACCTCTTTCTTTGGTGTTTCTTCTTGACATTCTGGGCATACGATTTTTTCTCTTGAAAATATGAAAACTAATTTAAGTTTAATAGAATCTCGACTGATATTTTTATCCTTCTACGGACCCAACACACGATTTACATTGACGATGCCCATATAGGAGTTGCACAGGATCTCGTAATATGAGGTCGCATATTCAACAGAGGAACGCTAAGCCGATAAAATCTTTATTTTTTGAGTCGAAACCAACCATGCGTTCACAATGCTATAACATAAATGTAGAGAAATACAAATATAAAAGTAAACAAACTCTAGAATATTGGATATTTGACGTTGGTCTATTCTCATGTATTTCGAAAGCCGTTGAGGTTGAACCTAAAAAAATTATAATATTGATTAAGTAAAGTGTGGGTGTGGGTGTCGGTCTTGAGGTGGATGTGGTTGTGGGTGG